TGATGATGATAATTCGACGTGATCGAAACTCGTAATTATTCATTTTACAGAAAAAAAAAATTATGTGAAACGTCAACAATTTATTATTATTATTATTTTTTATTTATTTTTTCATTCTGCGTATAAAAAAAAAAAAAATGAGTCGCTTCGAGGCATTGTAAATAATAATAATAATAATAGCGAAGAAAATATAAAATGATAATAATGATAATTTTTTTTGTTTTTTGGTCTCATGTAATGTTAAAATGAAAACGGATTATGCGTGAAATAAAATAAATAATAATTAAAGTTTTTAAATAAATAAACAAAAAAAATTGATGATGATAATGATGATGATTTCAAACAATAATCGTTTCACACGTTTGTACAACAAACAAACAAACAAACAGGAACAGAAAAAAGAGCGAATCGAAACGAAAGGAAACCGGAAAAATCGTAAGAAAAAAAAAATAAAAATTAGTATTTCATTCCTTTTTATATTTCCGATTACGATGTAACGTATTAATATCAAACCGGAAGTTTAAAAGGGAAACTCAAAAAAAATCCTTTTTCCCTTTTTTTTTTGTTTTTGTTGAACCGAACGCGAAAACGAGGAAGAAAGAAAAAGAAAAAAGGAGAAGGAGGTGAAGAAAGAAGAAAGAAGAAAGCGCAACAATGATTTGTTACGTGACAAGAAAATAATAAATACTTTTTGTGCAATTTCTATAAATTCAAAAGGTAGTAAAATAGGAAAAGGAAGTAGACAAACAATTAATACAACAAACGCCTAACAAACGCCGCGCGTTCAATTTTTTTTTTTTTTATACAACAAACAAGGAATCATACATAATAAGAGGCGCGGAAATATTTAATAACTGGCAGTATATCATCATTGTCGAGTTAGACAAACAATAATCACGGAGGCCATGGATGGGCATGGCATTTATAATATCGACCCCCTGTGGGTATTTCGACCGGTCGATACCGATTTTTAAAAAATTTATTATTATTATTATTCTCTCCCTTTTTTGACGAACAAGAAAAAAAAGAAGAAGATGACGACGACGACTCCATAATTTCATTTTACATATAAAAAATTGATAGACAAAAAAATCATTTTTAATTTTATACCAACCCCCCCTCGTTCTCCCTTTCTTCCCCCTTCCACCTCCCCATCCCCCCTCAACCAACCACCCCGAATTAAATTAAAAAAGGTACGCGCGTAATATATAAAAAAAAATTTTCTCCTTTTCTACGCAACGTTTTTCGTAAAAAAAATTTAATATTAATTAATTTATTATTTTTAATTACTGTAATAAAATAATTTATTAACAATAATAATAATAATGATAATGAAGGGTTAATAGTATGGTTAAAATAAAAAAAAACGTGGTTTTAGAATTTTAACCGTATCGTAATTTTTAAATGAAACCTTTTTTTTTTTCTTTCTTACTCGTTTACGAAATTTAAAATTTTTCGTTAATAAATTATTATTATTCACACCAGTGATTGTTTCGTATTGATTATTTTATTAAAAAACAAACGAAACAAACAAACAAACGGGGAAAAAAAATTTATTAAAATCAATATTTATACATTTAAAAAAAAAATTAACGGGTAATTTTGGTCAAAAAAAAAAAAAAAAATTACGACAGGGAATGATGATGACCGGATATTACCAATACTACCACGTTTGAAAAACAAACAAACAAACAGGATAGTTAGCTATCAGTTGAATAACGTGAACGTGAGATATGACTATGCGAACAATCGTCACGGATGAAAGTTTGAGCGACAGATGTCTCAATTACCGGTGGACATGTTTTTCCCATTAAAAAATTTTCAAATTCCGCTTCGAGCCTTTGTTCGAATAACTCAATAGAAAAAAAAATTTTCGTTTGTTTGTCGCGTAATTGAAAAACGAACAAAAAACCGGTCGCCATAAAACAAACAACACAAAAACAATGTTAACGTCATTTAAACGACGCGAATATACTAAAGAAAATTTTAACCGAATCGAATCGAAAAAAAAAAAAAACGTTTCCCGTTTGTCGTATAATAATCTTTCCCTCATTCCGTTTGTCGTCGTTTCCCCCCTCTCCCCTCTCCCCTCTCCCCTCGAAATTCAAATTCGCAAAATCAAACAATAGTAGAGGAAGAACAAACAAAAATTTAACGACGATAATGAAAAAAAAAAAAAAAATTAATTCGACAACAGATTTTGTGTTTTACACGAAAAACAAGAATTTATAGACGATGATAACAACAACAAACGCAATTAATCATTTAAAGATTTTTGATGACGTCACAGGAAGTCGTTTTAAGGAAAATTCAAACAAACGGCCAAAAAATTTTCCGTAAATCGCGAAAAAAAATCCGACAGCGTAAATTAAAAAAAAAAAATTTTTAAATCGTTTCATATCCGTATCCGGTTTTTGATTTCGTATGAAACAAACAAACAAACAAAAAAAAGGCGAAAACAAACACTAAGAGAGAGAAAGAGACGCACACACGCACACATACACAAACTCTTCGCAACAATGAAAAAAAATAATAATAATTAAAAAAAAGAAAGAACAAGACGAGGAAAAAAAAAATTAAACAAACAAACAACAAACAACAAACGCATGATGAAAAAATGATTATTTTATACTTTTTATATGTATACCAACAGTAAAAAATAATTAAGGGCCAAAGGTGATGGTTAATAATTGATTTCATCTAAACTATGTATTTTAACATGGCCTCCGGGTGTTTGTTTTTAGCAGACACAATTATGCTACAATTAATAATACCTTTTTCGAATAACTATCAATTTTCTTATTATTATTATTATCATCATCATCATTATTATTATTATTATTTCGAGAAGGGCACTCTCTCGGTTTAAATTAGATTGTTCAAACAAACAAAAAAAAAAAAAACATCTTTCGAATCATCTTCGAAAAAAACGTCTTTCTTTCATCTTTTTTTTTCAGGGGTTCTTCCCTTCCCTTCTCTCTTCTCTTCCCTTTTTTTCACCCTCTTCTCATCCCTTCCCTTCACCTTTCCTTTTTTTAATAAAATATCATCAGGTACGTGAAATCGATTTTGAAAGTAGGGGGGAGAAGGAGGAGGAAAAAAAACCTTTTTTCTCTCTCTCTCTCAAAAAAAAGGGGATGAGGAGGAGGAAAGGAATAATTCGGGGATGACGTGAATACATCCCTCGTAAGGAGGTTTAATACCTTCACCGGTTCTCCTTCACCCTTTCACTCCCCTCACCTCAAACCTTTTTTTTTTTTTAAATTATAATTTTTTTTTTTTTTATCGGATTCGCACGCATTATTAATTATTATTATTATCATTATTAATAACTATTATTTTTTTTTTCCTTTTTGTTGTTATTTACGCCATTTTTTTTAAATTATCATTATCATTATTATTATTATTATTGCAAAACTACGTAATTACGGTTATTCAAACAAGCAAAAATTAAATAAAATCGTGAATGAAATTCTGTAAGGGAAAATTAAAGAAAAAAAATTTTTTCCGCGACCTTTTCACGCGCGTTTTACACAATTTATTTTTTTTTTTACTTCATCTTCATTTACCCAGAGAAAATTTACGCCGCGTTTCTGCACCCCCCCGCCCTCTATTTTTTAACGACGTTCGTCACGACGACGAATTGTTTTTCTTGCGTGTTTTTTTTTTTTTTTTTGCTTTCGTGCGACGGCGCAAACGCACGCGTTTGTTCGTTTTAAAAATTTTATGTAAATAATTATTATTATTATTATCATTATTATTATTATCGTCGTCGACTACGACGACGAGTACAACCGACGCCACTGATAGATACGAGATTCGACAATATCAATGTTTTCGATACCCTTTGGGTCACAATTATATTCACGTACGCTATAAAACTATATATAATGACGTTTGTCGTTTGTCTATATTTAAGTCATTATCGTTTTAATTTTTTTTTTTGTTTGTTTGTTTGTTTTTGTCGTTGTCGTCAACGTCGTCAACGTCGCCGTCGTCGTCGTGGTCGCCGCCGCCGCCACCGACGACGACGACGACGAAATCGTTAATTATTACTATTATTTTTTTTTTTTTTAATAATAATAATAATAATTTAATATAAATTATATTAATATCGTCACGCGCGTAAATTTATAGCGCTATAAAATATCAAAAAAAAAAAAATTTCTTTCTTTTCTCCAGAAATAACTCACTCATAAGTTAAGACAAATAAATAAATAAATAAAAAATGACGTAAATAATTAGAGGTTTGTTTGAAAAAAAAAAAAAAAAAAAACGATGTGGATTTTTTTTTGTTGTGGTGGTTGTTGTAGTTGTTGTTGTTATTGCATTCAACCTTTTTTTTTTTTTTAAGGCAAATCGTATTGGATATGAGGAGTGATGATGAGTAGTTGTTGTTGTTGTTGTTAAAAATCTGCCCGGACAACATTGTCAATGACCGCCTGAAACCTTGGATGGATTTGTGTGTTTGTTTTTTTGTTTGTATGTAAGTGTTTGTATGTTTGTGTTTTATTGAAAACTATTTTAAACGTATCTTGCTTGAAATAATAACAGTCGTAGAATGGAAGAAAAAACTCGTTTTGGAAAAATCTTTCGTCTGTGGAATTGATATGTACGCACGCGTAAATTTTTTTTTTTTTTTTTCATTCTTGTTTTGTTTCCAAGCCGTGGCACAAACGTCTCGATATATTAAACTCTTTATTAGTACGTCAATCGAAAACGAATTTTTTTTTTTTTTTTTAAATATGTATGTAAAGAAGAAAAAGAAAATAATATTCCCGGGTGCGAAAAATAATAATGATAATAAACGTGGGAATAGAAAAAAAAAAAAACTTTGTAGATGCAGGATGTAAAAAAAAAAATTAATTATTTTACGGATTTGTAATTTTTTTTTATTGGGTTACAACCCGAGGGAGGGGGGTAGGGAAAATTCTTCTTCCACGACGGTTTTGATAATTAATTAAAATTGAATATTGATAAAAAAAATTAAAACACCGAGCTTACCTTCCAGATTTTGTTATGACCATTTCGGTACCGAGCTTGTGAAATTTTTCCCATAAATCTTTTCCTTCTAAAGTCACTTTAGGATCGTCTACGACTCCGTCATCCTCGGGTTGAATGGCTCTCAACGGTCGCACCATGGCCGGATGATGATGTATTGCGGCAGCAGCTAAAACCACGTCTTCCGCTGTCGTGTACGGATGACCCGGCGGAAGAGCGTGATGAGGACCCGGATGATGAGGTCCCAATTTAGGAATTAAAGTACCCGGGTAGCATCCGACTCCCGGGGGTCCCGGATTACCGGCGCCGAAAGCTGCGGCCGCGGCCAACGCCGCTGCCGGAAACGGGTAGTGTGGCACCGTTCCGGAAGTTCCGTTATTATTGTTGTTGTTGTTATTATTATTATTATTAGTACTATTACTGCTATTATTATTATTATTATTAGTACTACTGCTGCTATTACTATTATTACTATTATTATTGTTGTTGTTATTGTTGTTGTTGTTGTTTGCCGTGAGCAGGCTGCTGACGCTGAAATCCGTTGGCCTTTGAGATAGCAAAAACGGATGATACGCCATCCCTCCGCCAGGTGCGCTCTGTGGCGACGGAGACAAATTTGCGTCACGCGTGTGCTCGAATCTCATTTGAGCTTTTTTGATCCCCGTCTCGCGAGAAATTTTTGAAGATTTATGTATTTATTAATTAATAAAACACACGGTTTATTATTATTATTATTAAAATGAAACGATAACCGACATGATGATGCGAATAATAAATCCGGAAGGATTTTTATTTAAATTATGTCCGCCGCGTAAAATTAAAAAAAAAAAGTCAATCAATAAAAAAAAAAAAAACTCATCATCACATCCGAACATTTAACATTTTCTCTCTTTTTTTTTTCATCATCATTATTATTATTCTCTTTTTAATCGCAGAATAAAAAACAATTTTTTCCTTTTTTCCTTTTTTCTCTCTCCTTTTTTTTTCTTTCGTTTTTCAGAGTTTTATTATTATTATTATTATTTTGATTAATAAATGAAAAATTTAACTAACGTTTTCATTTATTTTTTACCCCCTTTTTTTTCTTTCTTTTTGTTTTGTTTTTTGACTGTTTTTATTATTAATATTATTTTTTGGAAATCAGAATAATAAAAATGAAACTTCTATAATAATAATAAAATGAAAAAAATAAATAAATAAATAAACAAATTCAATAAATAAATAAATAAATAAATTGTTTTTTAAATTAAATTTTTAATTGGCATTTGTTTTAATTGTTTAAATGTTTTTTTTTTATTAATAATAATCGCAAATGTTGCTGTGCCATCCAAGTTTCATTTGTTTATAATTTTATTATTAAATCTTTTCTATTTTATGTTTTTTACATAAAAAAAAATTATGACGTCACGTAGAAGAAAAAAAAAATAAAGAAATTTTAGTGTCACAAAAACGTTAAAAAAATTTTTTTTTTTTTTCCTTTTTTTTCAATTTTTTTTTTTTACATGATTAAATTTTAAATTATTATTATTATTATTATTATTATTGTTATTATTATTATTGAACCGTCGTAAAAATAATATTGTGCATAAAATTTTCCGTTTTTTTTTTCATTTCTTATTAAAAAAAAAAAAAAAAAAAAAAAAAACGCGAACGAAAAAAAAAATTATCGTATTTGACTATCGCGCGTAGAAAAGTCTTGGAAACTTAAAAAATTTATTTCCAGTAATAAAATAAAAAATTTTTTTATTCGTTAATAACGTAGTTGTAATTTTTTTTCTAAAAAAAAAAATATTTTAAATAAACAAACGAACAAACAAACAAACAAACGGAATCGATATTTGTTGCAAAAAGCCAAAAAAAAAAAAAAAAATTTAGTGTCTTTGTTCGTCCCATATATAATATATAAATCAATAAAGATGGCCACTCGGATTCTTTTTTGTTTTTTTTAATATAAATAAAATAAAATGTTTGTTTGTCTTTCTGTTTGTTTGTTTGTCTGTTTGTTTTTTATTAAATGAATAATCCGATTTGTTATGTTAGACTAACTACTACTACTACGGACCATAAAATCGGAGTCCAACCAAAACGTTGGCCCGAAAAAACTTTGCCAACCGATTCTTCCGCCATCCGCCGGTAAAATTAAATTTTTTTTTTTTTTCTTTCTCTCTCTCTCATCATCATCTTTGTTTTATTATTATTATCATTATCATTATTATTAATTTTTGCGTTTGTCGTCGTATTAAAAACTCACGCACACTACGATAAAAAAAAAAAACGCGCGCGACAGTTAAAAATATTTTTTTTGATATTTTCATTATTTGATTTATTTACAAACGAAAAAATTTAAAAACGAAATCGATCGATCGATCGATCTCTCGATTGATGGATCGATTAATCGAATGACTTAATAAAAAAATTTTTTTATAAATGCGATTTGTAAAATTCGTTGAAAAATATTTACACGAAACCCGAATAAAATTTTTTTTTCATTTTTTTTTTGTTTTATTTTACGCGCGCGTTTCCTTTTCGTCATTAACATACTACTAATAATAATAATAATAATTTATTGTTATTCGCGTGTATTTTACGTGCATTTTAACGACCCCCGCATAAAAAAAAAATTTTTTTTTTTTTTTTAATCATTAAAAGACTTTTTTTGATTTATTTTTTTTTTGTATTTTACCTCCTCGAGCGTTTTAAAATTCAAAACGCTGCGTAAAATTTTGTGTTAAAATTAAAAAAAAATTTTTTGCGTAATAATGAAACGTGCGTTTTATTTTTTGCAATGAAAATTTTCTCATTATCATTATTAATATGCGTTTAAATTAATAATTGACGACGTTACGATGATATTAACCCCGTAATTATTTTGTAAAAAAAAATTTTTATTTATTTATGTATTATCATTATCGTTATTACCTTTTATTTATTTATTTATTTATTTAAATTAATATTAATCGGGGGAAAAAAAACGGTCGTTTTTATTAATGGTAATAATTTAATATTTATTACTTATTAAATTTTTTTTTTTTTTATTTAATAATTTATTCCAGATTGGAATGTTTAATTGAATTTTCTTTTCTGTTTTATGTTTAGACCAATTTTAACGAACCTAATTATTATTATCATCGCAAACGTTGTGCGTTATTTGTTTGTACGTTTCGTGTTAAAAAATTAATTTAATTAAATTTAATTTTGTTCGTTTGTTTGTTTGTTTATCGTGGTGGGTGTTAATTTAGGTTTGATTTGAATAAAACAAATGAAAAAATTGACAAACGGAAACGACGACGACGACAACCGAAATGACCGAAATTTTATTTTTGTCGCTATTTAAACGTATAAATAATTATAAATAATTTTATTATTATTATTACTATTATTATTATTATTATTATCTTACTTTCAACGACGTGTAATTTTCCGGCCGAAATTTTTTTCACCGGGAAAATATTAAATTTTCCAAAAAAAAATTTAAAAAATCATTTTTTTTTTTTTCGCAACTTTTAACTGCACGCGCGTAACAAACAAAAAAACGCACATAAACAAATTAATAAACAATTTTTTTTGCAAAAAACGAAACAAACAAAAACCTAACAAACGTTTAATTATTATTATTATTTTTAATTATATTTAAACAATTAAATACAACGAATTGCTCTACGATTAAGTTAATAATAATTTTATTTTTATTAATTAGAAAAATAAAACGAAATCGAAAATTGCAAAAAAAAATTCTAGAAAATTTTACCCCCCCCCCAAAAAATAAATAAATAAAATTTTATTATTATTATTATTTATAATTTTTGTACGCGGCGGAACTTAAAGCGACGCTTTTAACGTCAAACAAAAAAAACCGGCGTTCGACAACTTCATCATTTTTATACTCGGGGGGGGTAACAAAAAAAAATTAAAAAAAATTACCGTAATACATCCTTTTGTTATTCTTTCCTTCCTACACCCCACAAAAAAATATCATTAATAATAATAATAATAATAATAATAATAATAATAATAATAATTAAAACAAACTCACTTTTTATTTTTCCCGGCACTTTATACCGCGTCAGAAAAAAAAACCGGAAAATTTTTTTCTTTTCTTTTAAATTTATCAATAATAATAATAATAATAATTTTTTTCCTGTCGTTTTTTCAGGTTTAGAAACCTTAAAAAAAATTATTTTTTAAACAAAACAAACAAATGCCGTCGCTCTCCTACCCTCCTCCCTCACCGTAAAAAAAAATTAAAAAATTTATTTATTTATTTATTAAATAAAAAAAAAAAAAATTCCGAGGATTTTTATAAATAATTAATTTAAAAATAAATAAATAAAACTAACAAACAGCAACAGAAACAAACAACAAACAATAAACTATGACGGCGATACAACGCGAACTTTTTCTCTTATTTAAAAAAAATTAAAAAAAAATGTTTAATAAAAAAAAAAAAAAAATTATTTAAACAACAACCTTTTAAAATAATATTTTTTTTCTCGTAATAAAAACTAAACAAACAAACAAACAAACGGAAAAAGAAAAAAATTTTTTTTTTTATAATAAGAAATTAAAAAAAAGAATTAGAGTGAAAAAATAAATAAAAAAAAAAACTTTTTATTATTTTCGCGCCATAAAATAAAAAGGAAACACATTCTACCACGGATATTATGAGACTACTGCGGCCGTAAACTTTAACACGATGCAAGCGGTGCAAATCACACCAAATCTCGCGGATTGGCTTGATACGAACCAATGAGAAGGCGTATTTCTAGTGTCCGTGTAACCACACTTGATAAACAGTGTACAAAAAAGACTCTATCCCTGCGTTATTAGTGTGCTCTGTGTGCGCTTTTCGAACTGGAAACTCGTCCGGGATGGTGTTACATACGCCTTCCTTCCTAGGCAATGTGAGAGAGAGAGAAAAAGAGAGAGAGAGAGAGGGACTTCTTCATAACCTTACACAATTTAAACGAAGGGGAAGGCGAGAGTGAGAGAGAAAGAGAAAGAGAATGAGTTAGTTGGTGATTTTCAACCTTTTTTTTCCCTTTTTTTTTTTATTCTAGAAAATTTTTTTTCTCCAGTTTTTTATATGTGTTATTATTATTATTATATATTTGAAAATAATTTACTCGAGTATAAACGATTTATATATATAAATAAATAACGCAAAACCGCGTATCATTTTAACTTTTTACTTATTATTTATTAATAATCGACGTTATAATTTTTTAAACTTTAACGCGTGCGTTTTTCCATTCGTAATAATAATATAATAATAATAATAATAATAATAATAACGCGGCGTACAAAATTTTTTTTATCTTTAGTAATAAGTAAGAATTTTTTTTATAAGATTTTTTTCTTTTTTTTCTTTTTTTCTTTACATATATAAGAAAGTCTTTGGCATGTGTTTTCTCCCTCGTTTTTTTTTCTGTTTTTTTTTTTTTTTTTTAACGAATGAATGTTGGCATCACTGCTAGAATTTAAAAAAAAATATATATTAATTTCTCTTATCGGTTATATACTAAAGCCAATCTTTAAACAATTTTTTTTCCTTTTTTTTTTTATTTTTAAATATTCTTGACACATTTTATTTTTTATCTATTTTTATTTTTACCACGAGTGTTAATCACACGTATATACTATTACA